TTCCTTTATAGGTTACCTTCTTTTCTCTGGCTGCCCTGAGAATTCTGTCTTTTTCATTGATTTTTGATAATTTTAATAGGATGTGTCTTGGTGAAGGCTTTTTTGGGTTGAAATAATTGCGTGTTCTGTTGACTTCTTGAATTCCAAGCTCCAGCTCATTCCTCAGATTTGGGAAATTCTCATCAACTATTTGTCTGAAAATGCTTTCTAATCCCTGCTCCTTTTCCTTCTCTTCAAGAATGCCAAATATTCTTATGTTTTCCCTCCTGATGGTATATCAGCTAGTGCTCGTATTTCTCTTTCATTATTTTTTATTCTTCGCTTTCTCTTGTCTTCCTTCTGATTTAATTCTAGATTTCTGTCTTTGATATCACTGATCCTTTCCTCCATTTGGTCAACTCTATATCTCAAGCTTGCTATTTTATTTTTCAACTTTTGCAGTACGTTCTTTATTTCCAGAAGTTAAAGAACTCATTCTGCTCATGTAGTTGTTTTTCAATTCCTGAAATTGTTGATATGATTTGTTTTGGTATCACTGAGTTTTTTCAAAAGTACCATCCTGAATTCTCTGTCATTTAAGTCACATAATTCTATTTTTGTAAGCTTATTTTTTGGAGATTTTTCTCTTTCTTTCTGAGATGCCTCATCTCCTCTTTTGTTCATGGTGTTTAATGGACTATTTTTTTGCCTAGGCATTAATGGAAGTATATTCTGCTATTTTTCCCAGAAAGATTTATTACATAAAGATCTCTCTAGCCCGTTACAAAGAAGGTGTTTTTCTTTTAGTTTCCAGTACATGGCGTTTAAGCCTCTTGGATCCCTGCTTTATGTAAAGCCTTAATAATGCCTTTTTTTTTCTTATAGATATTTAATCACACTCACTTCCCTCAGTCTCAGTCCCTGTCAGTGTTAGCGACAGTTTCAGTAGCGTTTGCTCAGATTCCTCTCGGGCTCCGCAGTGTTTGGTCTCAGAGGATATGAGGGGAGGGGCGCTCTGGGTTGGGGGCTGCGGGCTGTGGCTCAGCCTTGGTTTGGCAACTGTGGCAGGTAGAAATCAACTGTTGTTTCTCTGCCGTCCCCGCTTCTCTGCTTTCTGCTTTGATGACCAGGACCTGCCACTGGCTGCATGGAACTCACAGCACTTCCAGGCAGGGCTGTTCAGGGAAGTTGCCGCACCTTCTCCCCTCCCCATCCTCCTACAGGGAGCTCCAGCAGCCGCGAGAGGAAGCTTCTTTGTTTCTCCCAGTCCACCACCCAACACCTGGGATTCTGACCTGTGGTAGCTCTTATGCGCAGATCTCACGCTCAGACGTGTTGGTGTGTAGTTTGGGTGTTTTATGTTGAGTTTTAGATGTTCAGCTTATTGTTGTTTCAAGGCGAGAGACCTGGAGACATCTCTCACTCCGCCATGTTTCTAAGTGATTTTCTAATCTTCATTCCTTCTACATTTATTAGTTGCCTTTCTATTGTAAGAAAAAGTTATCCCTTCCCCCTTCTCTGTTTATATCAGTGTAGACTCATGGCTTCTTACTTTATTCAATAAGCTTAAATCCTTATTATATTTTATGTCGATGCTCAAAGTGTCCCAGATTTGGCTAGTGGGAGTTTCACAAACTGGTTTTTGTGGCCTTCTGGCATGTCTGTATCATTCTTTGATGACTTTCTTACCTTTTAGCATAACAGATGTTTAAGGCTCATCTTGTTCTTTCTCTTGCCCACCTCTGAAATCAGCGATTTTTCTGAGGAGCACTGTTTTTTTTTGTTGTTGTTTGTTTTTTATTTGTTTGTTTGTTTTAGTGAGATTGTAATTCCCGACCAGGATCTGGCTATTGGATGTGTTCCTTTTTACTGGACTGTCATTACTTCTTCTAGGCCTTGTCAGATAACAGAGCTGGGGAATTAAAAAAATTTTTTTAAATATTTTTAATTTATATTATGTATATGTTCATATGTAACACATACTTACACATACACATATACACACACACACACACATTTTTATATAGTTAATTATCAATATATATTAAAACTCATGAGTTCACACTATCTCCTTAAATTTCAATCCAACACTTTCAATTCTAATGCAATATTTTATCTTTTCCTCTTCCCATATTTCATAGAAAACCTGGCTCCCATTTTCCACAATAACATTCCACTTATTTGCTCAGTCCTAGGATGCACAAAGAGTTTCAGAATTGCTAGTACATGCCTTTGCAAAACAGGAGTTTAATATTTGTTCAGATTTTTTGTTTGTTTGTTTTAAACCTCAGGGCATATAGTTCAAATTCTGTGCTCAAAAGTTTTCTGGGCTAGTCCTTTTTTTTCCCCTCCCCCTCTGTCAGTTGTTTTATTCACTTAAAATAAAACTATTGTTTATTTGCTTCTGTTTGTATTCAATTTGGGTACTTTTTCTGTCCTCGTGGATTTTATTTCCTTTTTTTTTTTTGAGTATTTGAAACACTGTCCAAACATCAAATCTGTATAAAAAAGGTGTATTCAGAGGAATGTGATTTCCTTTTCCTCATTCCCTTTGTCCTTTCTACCCAGTTCTCTCCCTTGTTCTGTAAACAATCTCATTAATCTCTAGGTTTTTGTTCTTGTTTTCCTTTTTGCTTAAATAGGTACATAAATATATATTTTCTTATTTCACCTTCTTTCTTACCCAAAAGGTGTAATATCATATTCTTTTGTATTTTGCTAATCATAGAATTTTAAAGCTGAATCAGACCTTATTGTTGTATTTCTAAGATTATTCTTTCTTCATTTTTTTTTTTCTTTTAGACATTGGATCAGCAACAGTTCTTCACAGAGGAAGAACTGAAAGAATATGAGAATCTTATCTCTTTACAAGAAAACGAACTTAAGAAAAAGGCAGATGAGCTTCAGAAACAAAAAGAAGAACTGCAGCGTCAGCATGACCAACTTGAAGCTCAGAAGCTGGAATATCATCAGGTAGTATTTTGTAAAAGGGTTGTGGCATTAAAAAGGATTTTAGGTGCTATGCTAAAAGTCTGTGTTTTGTAATGTATATTTCAATGTACTATTAGCTATAGTATTTTAAATTTTGGCATTTTTAAAACTGCATTGTTGCATATTAATCTAAATTTTAGAATTTGAATATCTCATTTGGAGAGAAATTTTCATATAGTTTGTTGTGATTTGTCAAAGGTCACACATGTCAGAAAATCAAATAATACTTTCTTTCAAAACATTCTTTTTCTATTCACTAGGTTATACAGCAGATGGAACAAAAAAAATTACAACAAGAAATTTCTCCATCAGGGCCTGGTGGAGAATCAAAGTTACAGCCACGTATGTAATTTTGTTTGCTTATTTGTTTAAGGAAATAAAAAAATGAATAAATTGAAATCTATATTAACTACAAATATAATTCAAGTTATTAATATCTATGTTTTTTCAATATATTTGTAGAAATAGAGCACCCTGTATTACAGAAAAATGAAAAGGCCTCTAAAATTTTTATGTATATATATTTCAAAAGCTCTATAATTTGATAGCCTTATTTATAATGAAATAATTTATATATTATTTGTAATTCTTTCTAATCAACTATTGATATTATTAGAGAATATGTTTTTTAAATTGTTATCTATGATTGACTAAGCATATTTCAAAAATATTATATAAGAAGATTCAGAATACAGAAAGATACCTTTAAAATGAGTTTGTTTTTTTTTTTTCTGAACAGTCATTTAAAGTCTGAAGTCCACCAGAACTTGGAAGAAAACTATAAAATAAACATCCGTGTCATATTTTTACCTCCCTTCCTTTTTCTCTTCTCAATAAATATTTTAAAGCATATATGGAATAAAGGAAGATACTTTTTAAATGAGAGCACTTTTTTTTGGACACAGATATTTAAGGATTGAAGTCTACCAGAACCAGGAAGAAAACAAACTCAGTATCTGCTCTCACTTTCGTACCTCCCTTCTTCTTTCTTTGTTCTCCTTTAGTGATTTAATTAAGTGGCCTTGTGCCATAATTTAGTGAAACTATCAGTAACTATTTAAGTGAGAAAGCTCCATCTATTGCTTTTAAAATAAATTGCTGTCACTCATAAAGGTAGATATTCTTTTGTGGGTGCTTGTCATCCCCTCTCTCGATAAAAGTCTCTTTGATATTAATACTTCTCCTGAGAAGACCATAGTATTCCCCAGTGGTAACTTTTTCCCACTTTCAGCACCCTTAACTCTTAGAAATTCTTCTACTGAATAGTTTTTGTACCATTTCAGGTCATTTTTTTTTGTTCATATTTATACTCTATCATTTAAGATCAGGTTCTAATATACATAATGAAAAAACCAAAGATAACAGTAGTTTTAAACTAAACAGGAGTTTTTCCTTTTCACATAAAAGAAATCTGTAAGTAGGTAGTGTCCACGTTCTTATCTTTCTGCTCCGCTATCCTCCGTGCATAGTTTTTATCTTCATGTTACCTCATCCTCAATGTAAGATTGCTTTTGGAGGAAGCAGGGAAGGGCAGGAAAAGGAACTTTCCCCAGCTTCCTTGAGGCAATTTTCCTGGAGAACCACACAACATTTGAACTTATATCTCATTGGCCCAAACTGAGTCACGTGGCTATCTATCTAGCTGATAGGGAAGCTGAAAATTCCCTGTGGCATTGCGACCAGCTAAAAGTTACTATTCTTTAAGGAAAACGGGAGGAGGGAATGTTTGGTAGGTAACTTTTAATTTTAACCCAAACAGCCTTGTCGGCCACCTAAATATCTATTGTACATTCTTCTGAAACGTAGAAAACAGTCACTTCCCCCATCCCTAAAGGAGACCACCAAAATCCAATCTATTATTGCACGTAGATCAAAGACCATGAAATCTGAATATAGTCCCCTCCATCAGGTTAGGATGTGGCTCTTTATGTTCTTGGCTATCTGCAAATGAAAAAGCAAGGTGTCTGCCCCATGAGCACCATATGTATAATAGTGGGATAGGTACAGGATAACTGCTGTAAAATTAACCTTTTTGAAAAGGGGAAAATGGGAAACATAGCAGTCACTGATCCATAACATTAAAAAAAATACTGCTTGGGAAAAATAGCAAGATCTCTCTGCTCTGTCCATAAATATATTCCCTGGTTTTCCTATCAGGCAACTTTGGATTCACCTTTCTGGGAGGAACCCCCTTGTCTAATGTCCTCAGGGGCCCCTGATGTTGCCTTGTAGGAGGTTTTTATTGTCCATTAATTTTTAAGGACATATCTGAGTGGGCATTGGTAAGGATGCCTTTCTTAGAAGCTGGACAGCCTTAGCACTTCACGTCCTGTTATTTTGGGTTTGAGGATTGGGGGTTGTTTTAGGTCGTAGGCCAGATTTAGGGTTTTTGTGTTGTTTTGTTTTGTTTTTGGCAAAACAGTACCCTAAAAACTTAGTAAGTTTCTGGTCTGTTTTCTTCAGTGATTACCATTAGTAACTTCAAGATCTTGTCAAGACATAGTTTTTCACAAAGAACCTCATCTTTACTTGCTGGCCTCTGTATTCTCGTTCTCCCCTGGGGTCTTGAATGGTACCTACTTGGGTACCATTTTAAACTATAGGCTTGGATGGGATAACAACAGTCTTTATATGATCTTTCTCCTTAGGATGGCTCCCTTACTTGGTATAAAATTCTTCAGATAAGGTTCTTGAAAAAGGTTAAGAAAGCATTAGCAGCCTCCTCAGAACCTTTACTTATAACTGTTTCAGTTTGAAGTATGATGGTAGTTGACCTTCTCAATTCTTTAGGGTTCCAGATTTGGGACTTTTTCAGTTTATTTCGTAGACAGAGCAGTTCCCTCAACAAAGCTATGTACCCTTCCATCTTTGCAGACTTGTTAACTTTAGCCTGAGTCACATTTCTCCTGTAGGACTTTGCCGAAAGAGGCAAGAGGCAGCCCACACATGCTAGCATTCTGAAATTCTGCCACCACTTTCTCTGATATCTTAACTTCAGTTAGCATGAGGTCTCACCGCTCAAAGCCCTACCTCCTCAACTAAACCCATTCATATTTAAGATCTTTTTATTTTGCTGTACTTTACTTTTAGCTACCAAGTTCTGTATAGGTCAAGATTTTTGGTTGTAGATAATAGAATCTTCTTTAGCTATTAAACAGAATGAGATTGATTAGGGGTACAGATAACTCACGGAATCTTGAGAACCCTTTGAGAGGGTCGAAGAAACAGAACCTAGGCTGAGCTTCTAGGAACTCCATCACAAGAGAGGGCTGCCAAGGAAGCTGCTGCTTTTGGAGCAGTGAAGACTGCCTGCCAGGTTGGGATGCTGCCTGTTAGATTAGGAAGACACAGGCAGTTGCCAGCTCCAGGATACACCACTACTGCTATACTTTGTGTCGGCAAAAATGGATACGTCTCGTCCTGCTTTTCTCCCCTTGTAACTCAGTTCTGAGTGAGAGTCTCAGGTGAGTGCATCTGATTGTTGGACCCATCATCCCTGGAACCCTAGCTGCAAGAAAGGTTGGGAAATGGTAGTGTTTGACTTTCCTACATCTGTAGTATAGGAATGCATGTTTAAAGCTCTTGAGTGAACCAGTCCACTTTAACACCTTGTAATTTTACATTGTTTCTCCCAACATCAGTAATTTTTTAAACTCTCGGTCCTCATTTTGCAGATTTTAAAATATCATTGCATATTTCTCCAAACATACTTCAGATATTTTTTTCTTAAATCATGGATCCCAAAATTAAATATAACAACCTAGAAAAGTTCTGCTTATATTCAGCTTAAAAACTCCCAGAAAAGTCACTCAACAGAGTAATGCTATGTTCTTTAGAGATGGAGAAAAATTCCTATCTCTATTGTTTAAATTGTAGGAAACATTAAAAAATGGTCTGGAATATCTTTTTGTCAATCATTATACTTGTGCCCAGAAACTATGATAATACAGAGATTCTCCTAGGGTAAACTTTTTTAGATGGTGGACTGGAGTTAAATCAGAAAGTAATTGGAGGAGAACTTAGAGAAATTTCTTTAAATGCTTTTTTGGCATGAATAAATAATGGATAGATATATAGACACATCTCATAATTTCCAGCAAATTATTATAATTTATATTATTTTAAAAATAATTGTTAGCTTAAAATTATTTATGGCTTAAGGAATTACAGTTCTTGTGAGTATTGGGCATTTATAAGTGAATATTATTTTTTAGAGAGTGCCTAATAGTACTCTTTCCAGTTCTGTTAGAAAGCATTGGTCCTATGTTTAATTTACACCATTCTTCACACTTTAGATATTAAATACTCTTTGGTTTAGCTGACTTAGTGGTATGTATTGGTAATTTGGGGTTTTGTTTCACATATGAATTTTCATGAAGCATGTCAATTTTATAGTATACTTAGATTTATGTAATTAAATTTTTAAAAGATAATGGGCTTTGAAATATTTAACTCTTTCTAACGAGAATTGCAATTTAGAAATAGTGGTAAGAATCCTCTGAGACATGGCTCTACATTTTTTTAAGCCAGATTTGTTTACAACAGTGTTATTTTTCATGCTAATTGAACAGATTTGTATTACCATAAGCCTACATGCAAATCTGGCCTTCACATGAGGAAAATATAAAGAAAATTTTAATGTGTTATGATAATGCGATTTTTAGGATAGCCAACCTAATAAAAAGAAGGCTGAGAGAAGTATTTTCTTTAAGATGAAATTTTGACAAACCCAGTTCTGGTTAGTGCCTAAAATTTAATCTTTATTTTATAGCTGTGCAGTACAGTCAAGAAGAAATTGAAAAAGCCAGAGTTAGATGATGAGCTTCATCCTTTTCATGCAAGATGTTTATCTCCTGAAGAATCTACTAGAGAGAAATCTACCTTCACCCTTAACCACTGGTGCCTCTAATTTAATACTTTAATTCATTTTCGTTGGAATTGAGAGACTAAGGTGTATTAAGTAAAACGCAAAGCTTATTCTTACATTCCTTTTGGGTGATATAATGGAAGACTAATGACAACTTGCTTTCAAGGTGTGAGATAGTAAGGAAATCGGATCTTTTCCTTTTTTTCTTTTTCTTTTTTTAACACAATATCATTAGCAAGATTCTAATCTTTCTCTACTTGTTTTAATTTATTATTTAAATGAGTAGTTAGCTATGAATTAGTAGCCATCTTAGTGAATCTAAGAACTGAGCCAGAACAATCATCTGCAGCAAATGGTGAAGACACCAAATTGAAAAATTAGAATTTATGATTACCAGCGCTGCCAACCTGTTTATTCAGACAAAAACAAAGCAAAACAAAACTAATGAAAACTTTGATTTAATTGAGGAATTTAGAATTTTTCAAATATGGCCTATAGACTTATGTAGAAAAACAACAAATGTCTACTGTTTTCACTGCAGAGCTTTTAGTATACATTTTAATTCATGTTAGTCCGGTTCTTGATGATGAATGTCACGTACCAGCTTAGTAGTCAGCCAGCCCTTGACAATGTACTTTTCCTTACATGTTCACCCTTCTAGTTGCCTTCAAAGCTCTGCATGCCTTTAAACAAATTTTCTTTTGTTTATAATTTGTACATAATCTCTTGTAAGCAATAGATTTGACTTTTCCTGTGCAAATTTTCTTATCCTCTTTCGTTTTATTCTTAAGACTAAATATATTTACCAAGGCTTTCCAGGATTATGAATGTATATCTTATAATTAAAATGTTAAAGTATTTTATTTTACAATTCTTATAATTTTGCTTCTCCATGGAATTTAAAAATGAATAATGATTTTCCACATGATTTTTAAGTTAAAATTTGTCTGAGTGCTTTAAAATTGAGAGAGAAAAAGTAAACCTCCATCTAGTTGTCTTTGCTATCCCCCATGGGTCATTGTATTAAAATGTTATTTTTGTTCAATTTTAGTCCATTTTAAATGTTCACTTTTAGTGATATGAGAGTATCAGTCACTTAATTAAATCCTTACCTTCACTTTAGATTCCTCCTCTATGGAGTATGAAACACATGGGCAGCCCATGCTGTATTTGTTTGGTACCATGTGGCTTTTCTTATTTTGCTGGCCACTATTATCCTTCAGTTGTTAAAGTGGTTTGAATTTGCTTTACTTTTGAACTTTACCCTTTCTTTTCTTACGGTTGATACTTTATAAATATTTCCTTATTAGAGTAGTGATGGCTTATAGATTATTTCCTTTTAAAAAACATATTTGCCATGCCCCTTGATGTTTTAAACATTTTCATGATAGTATTGAAGCAAACAACAATTTAAAACTCCTGTAATCTTTGTGTAGTGATTCCTTCTTATTCTATAGCATTGAGTAAGGTATCTTAGAATTTGTATCTTAATTTTTTTCTCAGTTCTAATCCTGTATACATTTCTTACTCCTTAGATGTGTATATATTTTCATTCTTTTATATTCATAGTATGTTTCATTAAGATTGATTCGACATTGATCTTGGCCTAAAAAAAACAAAAACAAAAACAATTGCAGAAAAGTCAGCTTTTCAATAGCTACTTCAAGCAGGCTGTAATTCCTAAGGTGGTTTCTGAGCACTGTGGAGAGTGCTTTTAACCATGAAGAAAATTTGTAATTCATGAATAGAGTCCCTGACTCCTGACTCCTTCCCTTTGACAGAGTGAACCAAACTCTGATGAATATCTCTTGTCCAATTCTTCAGCTTTTTATACCCTCTTTATTAAATAATAATAGTTTAAAAAATATGTTATGTATCTGAGCAGACATTTTCCATCTTACAGTTGTTAATAAAGGAAAAAATATTTTTGGAATAGAAAGCCCAGGACATGAATTTAGCAATCTCTGTTTAGAAGTAGTGTCAATTACTGCTTCTTCATTACTTTGCCTGGATGATCTGAATTTTAATTAAATTCTTTCCTCTCTATGTACTTCCATTTCCCTACTTCTGTGTTGACTTTTCCATTGTATTTCTAATGCACCTCCTTAACCACTGGAGAAAGCTTTGAAGGATGAAGAACGTGGTAGCATGTTGTCAGGTTTCTTAAAGTTTCATAGCCTTCAGCTTCATGGGGCTTAATTTCAAAAGAATTCTCCCCTTCTCTCAGAGTCTCAAACTATCCATCTTTTCTCTAAGAGAGTCTGTTGTATTACTAATTAAGAGGTAGAGGCGACTTTATTAAAACAGGATTAATTTCCAAAAGATTTATACAAAAGATAAAATAGAGGCTAAATATTTTACTTTAAGGACAACAATTTGAAGCCAGTTAATGGCCAGAGTGACTGTTTCATTCTTTTGTGGTGGCTCTGGTGACTTTCCAATAGTTCTGTCTGCGCCTATCTATCTAGTGTCAGGGCCTAAGAACAGAAAAGGACTGGAGGTTGAAATACTGTAGCCAAGGTGGAGGAAGGAGCCTCTTTTCAGTGACGGTGTTTTTTTCCTCTGAAGCTGTTAGTGCAGGATCTGTTATAAGCCCTAGCAATTTTCAAATTGTACCACTGTCTCTGTACCTCTTTATATAGCCTCTAATTGAAATGGCATATTTTTGGAAGGAATGCATAGATGTTTATATGTAAACTTGTGCCTAAAATAGGTCTGGAGGGAAGATCATAGTTATTCTATGTCTTCAAGAATTAAAACATGAAAAAAAAAATTTTTTTTCTTTATTGCTTTTCCTTTTCATGAAGGAAACCAGTGCTGTATAATCTATATTTTATCAATATTTATTATGTTTTAAAAACCATTTAATAATGATGGTTTCTACATCCTATTTTAAAGTTGAGATTTTAAAGATCATTTATTTTATCTGTTATTGCTAATTTGGGGGGATTTTCAATTTAAATGTTGAATTTAAAATGTAACCTTTTATAAATATGTGGCTAAAAATGTCCTGTTAATTTTGAACTTTGGAAAGAAATTTTATTAGTCTGAAGTGTACTTGGATTTGATTCTTATTGGTTTATTTAGATAATTGGACTATTTTTAAAACTACAAAAATTAGATTTTATTTTGATAATCAGGAAGACATTGAGACTGTATACAAGTTTATTATATTTGAATTTGTTGACATTCGTTGTGTAAATTCTTTCAGTGCAATATTTGTTGGAAAATATTCTAGTCATTTGTATAGGTCCATTTTTAATTATATTAAAACAAAATTAGAAAAATATGTAATGTTTGTCATACTTTTCTAGGAGAAAAGACAAATTTGAGAATTTTGAAAGAATGGATTGTTTGCAAAACATTAGCATTATAAAGTAATCAAATCTCTGGGCCTTAGAGATCAATGAAAGAAGTCCTTCTCCATCATTTCTCCACAGATAATTTATCCAGCCCCCACTTTCCGGTCTTCTAGAGATAGCAGTGAAGTCAAAATCACAGTGGTTTCCAGGTTTGTCTGCATATTGGAATTACCTAGGAGTTTCAAAAAATCCCAGTGCCTCAGTCCTATCTCTAGAGATTGTGATTTCATCCTTCTGTAATGTGGTCTGGTCTTTGGAATTTTCAAAAGGTAATTATAATGTGCAGACAAATTTGGGAACTGCTGGTAAATCATGTTGAAAACCACACCAACCTTTTTCAACATTACAGATTCTACACTGGGGAGGAAACCCGACTGATGTTGATGAAAGACAGGGCAAATTTCCCCGAGGTGGTGCGGGGGAGGCCAAGCCCTGCACCGAGAGAAGAGGGTGCTTTGGTGGAGAGCGAAGAAAGAATTCAACACACATGCCAAAGTTAGAGTCAAAAGGAAAGTTTATTAGAAAAGGGGTAACACTCCACAGACAGTGTGGTCTCTTCTCAGAGGCAGAGAGTGAGGGAGACAGTGAGAGAGACAGAGTAAAGGCACTGAGAAGGACCCTGGGTGTTCAGGGAATTCAGTTTATATGTCATTCTTTAGTTCTCATTTCCTTTGATATGGACATACAGTGAGGAAAGGGAAGAATACGTAGAGTAAAAGGCCTGCTGGCAGTTCCTAGCCTGTCATACTTAGGTTCCCCATGGTTTTAGCAATAGGGAATGACTCTGCTGGTTCCTGTTTCCTTCACAGGTGTGGGGAATGGGTTGCTAGCAATCCCAGTAAAAATCTTCCTTCATTCAGGTGTTCTCCTGGCCTAGCTGCAGGGCTGATCAGCATATTGCAGTCTCTGATTGTAGCTTGATTAACATTTTAATTCTCTTGCATCCTTCCTACATTAATGTGATGAATGTTCTTCTATAAAAATTTAGTTGTCACTTCAGAGGATTTATAGCTACATGTATACACACACCAGTGTTTGTGTAATATGCAGGGAACATTTATTTCCACTAAAATTCAAGAACCATTTAAGAGGAAGGTATCACAGTGGCAGAGAATCCATGATGAAGGTATAGTAGAAAGTAGTAGGGACTGGGTGTTAGGACCCAGGCTCTCATTTTCTAACTAAAGTTGACCCTTGAACAACACAGATTTGAACTGTGCTGGTCTACTTATACATGGGTTTTTTTTTCAATAAATACTGTAAATGTATTTTCTCTTAGGATTTTCATATTTTCCCTGTTACTTTATTATAAGAATATAGTACATAATACATTAACATACAAAATATGTGTTAATTGACTGTTTATGTTATTAGTAAGGCTTCTGGTCTATAGTATACTACTATTAGTATAGTTTTTGGAAAGTCAAAAGTTAAACGTGGAATTTCAACTGTGCAGGGTGTCGATGCCCCTAACCCTTGCATTGTTCAAGGGTCAGCTGTGTATGATTCTTTCCCTTCTAAAGTCTAGAGGAAAAAAATCTAGGAGTGTGAGGGTTTAATTTTGTTCTAACTTTTTAATTTGAAATTATTTCAGACTTAGAAAAACTTGCAAAAATAGCACTTTTCATATGCCCTTCACCTAGCTTCCTCAAATGGTAACATCTTACAAAGTTAAATAAAATCAGGCAATCAATATTAATACAATTCTAACTAATCCTCATATTTTGCCAATTTTCCCAGTAACATACTTTTTCTAAGCCAAGAGCTAACGTTGCCTTTAGTTGTATATATATATATCTATGTTTAATTGTTAATTTTTAACAATGGTTAACCTAACCAAACAAATTGCAACAATAGTAAAACTAATTCTGGTATGCTCTTTCCTAGATTTATCAGTTGTTAGCATCTTGCCACATTTGCGCTAGAGCTCTTTCTCTATCTTTTTTTTTTTTTAATGAAGCATTTCAGAATTAAGTTGCAGACATTATGATCCTTTACCCTAACTATGTGAATGAGCATGTCTCCTAAGAACCAAGACATTATTTTGTAATAGCCATCTCATAGTGATCAAATTCAGGAAATTGAACATTGTTACTATACTATTAATCTAATATGGTCCACGTTCAGATTTCACCAATTGTCTCAGTATTGTCCTTTACAGTAATTTTTTTTAACAACCCAGGATTTAATCCAGGATTAAGCTTTGCATTTAGTTGTCATGTCGCTTTCATTTCCCTTGATCTGGAATAGCCTTTCTTTGTCTTTCACGATATGGATATTTTTGAAGAGTACAGGTCAGTTGTTTTATAGAATGGCCCTCGATTTGCCTTTGTCTAGATGACCCTTCTCAAACTGGTCTGTGACTGGTGCTGGTCTACATATCAGTGTTGCCCACGGTGAGGGGTCTACGTAGAAACTGAAATTACTTACACCTTTGGAAATAATTTTATGCCAGTTTAATAAAAATTAGGGGCTTACATTTTTATATCTTTTGTTTTCATTTTTCGAAGAATTTATTTTTATTGAATTTTACAAAGTAACAGTCATAAATGGGTTGGACATTTTCTTTAAAAAGGGTCCTTTGTCATAGCTACTTTGAATAGCACTGGTCTAGATGAGCTTTTTGAGGCTCAGAGCTCTGATTTACTCACCTGGTACACTTAGACTGTACCGGGCAGAGTTCAATAAATGGTTGCTGTGGGATGACTTGAATGGCCCATTTCTTTGTTGAGAAGCTTTTCTTAATGCTGAATCAAAATTTTTCTCCATAAATTCCACATAGAAACCTTACTTCTGCCTTCGAAAACGTCGTATAACATGTCTACTCATATGCTTAGGTGTTAGCCTTTCAAGAGATTTAAAGACTGATAATGCACCTTAAACCCCCAATCTATTCCCAGCAAAACTGGCTCCATTACTTTTACCATTTGTAGTGATTAGGATTAAGTTCTGCTGAAAAGGAGAACACCTGAAATAAGAGTGGCTTATTGACTTTCTTATGTGCTACAAGTTTAGAGGTATCATTCTAGGGCTAGTAGAAAGTTTCACAAGTCATCAGAGACCCGGCACCCTTCTTCTTTGCCATCTCATTTTCCTCAATGTGTACCTTCTACACTGTGGTCCAAGATATCTGCTCAAGCTCTAGTTATGGCATTTGCATTTCTACCAGCAGAAGAAAGAAGTGTGGTAGCGGAGGCCGAGCTGTTTCCTATAACGGTTGAAGGTTGTTCACTTCCCTTCTCGTAATAGGTAAGGGACTTTCCAGTGTCACAGCTGACGTGGCACAGACCACTGACTCTGGTCAGTCACTCCCCCAGCCCACCAACCAATCAAAATACACTTTACTGTGAGGAAGTATAAAATGTGTATAAAAGGGAAAGCCCCGCTGTGATTGGGGCTCTGCCTTTGGGTGTGAATCCGCTGAGCCAGTGCCGGCACCTATAATTGCTATTTCCTGCTTATTGCCTCGGTGTCCCATCTCTGTCTGAGGATCCTGCAACAGAAGGTAAAGAAGATCCCGCCCTTTAAGGACATTTCCTAGAAGTTATACAGAACATTTCCATTTATATTACTTTGGTCAGAACTTGGTCAAATCGCCACAATTAGCTCCAGGAGAGGCTTGGAAATGGAGGCTTTTATTTTGGAAATCCTTGTGCTCAGGAAGAAATTGGTGGCTTTTTCAAAGAAAATGGATATTTGACAGTATCTACTGTTTCTGCTGTATTGTCCGTGTATGCATGTCCTTATATAGTATCTCTTCTTCACCGTTCTGATTACTTGTTGGATGTTTTCATGCCTTTAAATATGGTTCCAAATAGTATGTGACATTCCAAAAGCAAGCTGGACTTAATATGTCTTGTATCAATGACCTCAGTGTTAACCAGCATTTGAGGATTATGTCTTAATGCTATGCAGCGATTAAGGACATACAAAGTCGTCAGAGAATATATACGTATTTGTTTGAGATGCACTCGTGAAGCTTCTGGTGTATGTTTTGGGGTTGAACGAAAAATTTGCAAAAGTGTTAGAAGATATATTTTCTTGCCTGTTTACAAGAATTAAATAAATGTGAAATTGGTAGAAATAATAGCACGAGTATTTAACATATTTTGATTTATCTTTAAATCTAATATAAATGGTGAAATCTGCTAATTTTACTCTCTTTACTTTTTTTTTTTTGTTGTTGGTAATTTCTTCAATTTCCTACTGGTTGATATGCATGTGCCACAACTTTGTGAATTTCCATTCTGGGCAAGTATAGAGATTCAGCATATATTTCTCCTGCAGATGTTATTTAATGAGTCAGTAATAGCAGAAGAGGATTCTCCCCGGTAAGGCTCCTTGGAGGAGGTAGCAGTTGAGAAGAGGTGTAATATAGAATTTTAGAATTTTAGAGCTGGACCTAACCTTGCAGATCTCTACTTGTTAAAATTGTGGCCCAGAAACTGTGACCTTCTGCAGGCCCTTCAGCTAGTGGGCGTGATTGTGGGCTCCCTGCTCAACAAGTTCTATGCTCTTTCAGCTATGCATGCTGTTTGTTCGAAGGTAATTGAGAATGTAAATATTTGCTTAGTTACTGACAGTACCATAAACTTTAAATTCACTATGCCAATAAGACTATTCGTTACTGGGGATTTGCTCCACACCCCACCCGATTCTTTAATTCTTACAATGCCCTTAAGGGAAGATTCAACTATCTCAATTTTAGAGAAGTGGAAACTAAGCCTGGGGTGTGAGACAACTTGCCCACTGTCCCATAATCGTCAGATGCCATACCTGGCATTTGAGTCCAGGTCTGCCTGTGATTTTCTGTAGATTACACTTTTTTTTAACGATATGAGAAGAAAATTAAGAATCAATGAAACTACTGTCATGCAAGATGCTGGGGGAAACAGGTGTGTGCATTTATAATACTAGCAATGCCACTTGTGTTCTGAACTTTGTAGTTAAATTGATTTAAAAACTGGTCTCGAGGTGGTAAAACTTGGTTATTAAATGAGCATTTTAGGTTTTTGCTTGACAAAGTTACACGCCACTTTTTGTTTAGTAAGGGGAGGGGAAATTAAAAGCTGCTTTCAGACGTTTGACTGAAGCGTCCTGGAGATATAAATTTAGCTTTCGGTTTAAGTATGGCAAGATTTTATTTATTTTTATTTTAAAAAATAAATAATGTTAAGTTTATCATGTCGATGGTAAGAGCAGACACCCCCAACACGTGGGCAGCACTCTCGCGTGGCGCATCCAATGACCGTGGTCACCACCATTGGAGTTTCCCCTTCCTGGCATTCTGGGAGCCCGGAAGCAAGAAATTAAAAGCTCAACTAACTCCTAGCGCGCCAGTGGCTTGGCTCTTCTCTTGCAGCATAAAACACGTAATCAAAACAACTTTGCAGAGTTGCAGAAGAGGCTCAAAGACCAAGAGGCAGAAGAATACGCCTTACACTCTCCGCGTATGGGTAAACCCTCCGCGTATGGGTAAACCCTCCGCGTATGGGTAAACCCTCCGCCTACAAACGACGTCACTGCACAGGGGGCGTGGTGGTCTCCTTCGCGGGCCCCGGCTCGGAGAGCCGGCCTAATTGCCAAGCATGGATGAGAGGGTAGCAGGTCGAGTATCATGGGATTTCTTGAGACTGCTTCTGGTTCTGATTCCGGTCGCATGGCTCACGTTGCCCGCCGCAGGTAGGACCCCGGCGCCGGTAGAGGTGGAGATGGAGGTGGGGAGCCGGGATGGGAGGACGGGATGATGGGTTTGCCCGGGAGTGCGGGACGGTGCGGAGTGGGTACAGGAGGTGCCGCAGCCACCAGGGGCTGTATTTTGAAGATCCTCGACTCTGAGCTCTTCATTGGGAAGTTGGATTGAGACTAAGTGCCTCCTTAAATTTTGTGCTTTTGAGTGCTCCGTAAATTTCAGCCCCTCTTGCATCATTTTAGATATGGTGAAATAAGAGAGGGTGAAATAAGAAAAATACTCCACCTGCCTGTCAACAAGAAAACTACACTTTTGCTAAAGTCTTTACTGAGAGTGAGTGGTGATATTCAAACATACAATTTTTACTTTTTCTGGGAACACTGATAGACACGTTTCTAATTATTTAACAGGAAACCAAAAGCCTGAAAGGCATCTAAAGAGATATTTAAACTCATTACAAACCAGAGAATAGAAGTTAAAACAGCAGTAAGATATCCTTTGACATTTATTAGGCTGGCTAATATAGGCTGGGTGATGCCAAGCGGTTGGTGGTAGTGGGGATGTGAGACTCTAGGGAGACCCTTTGGGTGTCCATCCGTGGGGCTGTAGTTGAGCCAGACGTGGATGTTCACCATGGAGAACTGGGCAGCAACTTCAAGCAAAGGACTAGCAACACACAGAAATGTGGAATGATCAGGAAAGTGTAGTGCCAAAAGGTGAAACAAAGACATATAACTCAATACCATTTCCATAAGTTTGAGAAACAAGACAGTTTCTCAAAGCAGGGTTGGGCCTGGTTAGTTCTTGGATGGGAGACTACCTAGAAAGACCAGGTGCCGTAGGTGTAAAAAAATAAAAAATAAGGGATTGTAAGCTGACAAGGTCCTTGTAATCTGTGAGGTCAACCAAGGGTTGTCTCGCCTAAAAAACAAAAAAAAAGATAAAAAGAAAACCATTCTATTTATAGTACCATCAAAAGAATCAAATACTTAGGAATACATTTAACAAGATGAGCACAAAACCTCTATACACGAGACCCCTCTCCTCCCCCCCCAAAAAAGGGAATTTGTTTCCAATTATCTGGTAGTGTTTTGAAAGTATAAGGGCTATATTTTTTCCAGGGTCTCTCATAACTGAGTTCTCTTATTGCCACAGGTGTCTTAAAAGTGGAGATGGCAGAGGAGACTCAGACCGTGTTTCTGAATGACAATGCCACCATCTCATGCAAGGTCTCTGGTTCCTCACACCTGGACATCAACATTATGGGTATTACCTGGTTTCGGGAGAGTCTGAATGAAACAGAGGTCAAAGTGTTTGAGTTTTATGGAAACCACCAGGAGGCATTTGGATCAGGAGCCATCGTGTCTCTATCGAGGCTGAAGACGGGGGATGCCTCACTGCAACTGTTTGGAATCCAGCTGAGGGAAGCAGGAAGGTACCGATGTGAGATGGTGGTCACCCCTGAGAAGGCACAGGGAACAGTCTTCCTGAAGGTTGTAGGTGAGTGCCTGATGACAGTGCCCTGTGGTTCTGATGATGATAGGGCTTGGGGTGGAAATGTAGATGGGCTGAGTGGAGCAGAGGTTTAGAGCATGGGCCTAGAAGTTAGATAGACACAGGTTTGAGTTTTGGGCTTCCACGGACATCTGGACCACTTTGGAAAGTTGTTAATCACAATGAACCTCAGTGCTCGTTGCTCTAAACAGATATAATAATATCTACCTGAGGACTGAT